GGGATATCTACTGAGGAGTAGATGACCTCTGTGGACATCTACTCTCGAGTAGATGACCTGACGGGAAGTTTGCTGTCGAGTAGATGACCTCTGTTAACATCTATTGTCGAGTAGATGACCTCTGTGGACATCTATTTTTTTAATTTAAATAGATGACCTCAGGAAATCTATAGAAGAGTAGAGGACCTCAGCGGTCATCTACTAGATAGTAGATGACCCTAGTGGCATCGACTGTGGAGTAGATGACCTTAGTGGACACATACTGTCGATTGACGATCTCTGGGGACATCTACTGAGGAGTAGATGACTCCTGTGGACATCTACTCTCCAGTAGAGGACCTGAGGGGAAGTTTGCTGTCGAGTAGATGACCTCTGTGGACATCTATTTTTTTAATTTAAATAGATGACCTCAGTGACCTTCGACTGTAGAATAGTTGACCTCAATGACCATCTACTGTGAAGTAGATGACCTCTAAGCCATCTACTATAGAATAGATGTCCTCAATGTACCTCTTCTGTAGGGTAGATGACCTCAATGGTCATCTACTGTAGAGTAGATGACTTCACTGGCCATCTACTGTGGAGTAGATGTCTTCGATGACCATCTACTAAAAGTTTGATGACCTACTATAGGTTAGACGACCTCAATAGCCACCTCTAGTAGATATAGTAGATGATTGAGGCCATCTATTATAGAATATATTTCCTCAGTCGTATACTACTATAGCGTAGATAATCTGAATGGCCCTTTATAGTCATCCAAAATCATTTTAACCTTCTACCTCATTATATCTGTCCTCTTTGATCTCAAATCTCTACATTTTGCCCACAAATAACCTTCACTGACTTTTGTGATCTTTTGCCAGAACATAACCATAAAACCGGTTCTCAAATTCTGCCACATCTCAGCTATCTAAACACATCTTTTTTTGAGATAAAATGCATTGGCCATAAAAAATCTACTTTAGTGATTTGAAGTGAAAAAAAGAAGTAGAAAGAACTTAAGCTGTCTAGTATAACTCATAGAATCTCTCACACACACACACTTACACTTACACGCATTCAACATTTCATGTGCACATAAATTGAATGGGAAAAGCATTGTTGTGCCAAAAGCAATGAAAATGATGCTGGCTGGCTTGGCTGGCTAGTCGCTCCTTGTCGTTGCTGGTAACATTGAAATTGTGCTCATCATAATGGTCTAATATTATTCTGGTCGTCGTTTTGGGCTTAGCCTAGGTTAAAGAGCTCAGTTAGTAGTTTTTCATCTTTTTTTCTCCATTTTTTTTTTAAAACTTAGAATTCCAACACCACTTTTCGTTACCAGGAACCAGGAAAAACAGAGAAATATTTCGTGAATAATGTTGAACAATAAAAAATGCTACATTTTCACTTACCCCCCTTCCCTCCAAAAAAAATGCTTTTGTTCATGCAAGTGTAAAGTTTAGTTGTTGTTGCGGTTGCTGCTGCTTCTTCAGCTAACTGCTGCAATACTGTCTGTGAAAATAGTGCTGGAAAATCCAACAGGAAACAAGGTATAAACGTTAAGAAAAATTATTATGAGAAATTTTTTGAAGGGGATTTTTGGGGTTTGTTTATGATGTGTATGTGTGTGTGTGGCTTTTGGTGTTGCGGGTGCGAGTGTGTGTGTAGGGGTGTGAATAAACAAAACAATGTTGTCAGAGATTATTGGAATTATTTTGTTTTGTTGTTGATATGACTTTTTTTATGGAACATTAAGGGAGCTATGAATTGTTGACACTTGGCTGATGGATATTAGATTTTTCGGGAAAAATGATAAGAACGGGTATTATTTTGGAAGAAATTTCAATGGAAGGGAGAAGGAGAGGGGCGAGGAAATAGAATTTCAAGGAGAACGTGTAGGGAAACTAGTACGATTTTGAGATTTTTAAAACCTTTATGACCCTCAAATTGTTATGCAGGGTAATTTTTATGTTTAAGGATTTTGTTAAGGATCAATGGCCAAATGCAGTACCCCAAGGATCTATGACCATATAGGTCACCAAGTCCTAAGGCTCATAAATCACCCTAAAGCTTTATTCCATAGATCTAACTAAAAAACCAGTAAAGAAAGACCAAAGTCGGGCTGGGCCGACTTTATGATATCCTACACCACTGTGCATATACAGGGTGAGATAAAAAAACTGCAACCAAACCTGTCTAAAACCATTATAAGGCACTTTTTGGTCGTGTCAAATGATATATATATACCATCTCCAGCCATATGGCTATGGGTATAAAAATCTATGTTTGCAGATCTTACGAGAGCTTGGTACAACATTCTTCAAAAATACACGTATAGCGAGCGGTCTGCTTGGAAAATATTTAAAAAATCAACATGGATTGGTCTTTTTAAAAAGTGTTCGTTTAAAAAATCTACTTTCGGAGGTAAGCTTGTATTCATGAAAATGTCCACATCTAGAGGTCAGTTTGAAAAAAAAAAATATTCGTTTACAAGTCTAAGTTTAGAGGTTAGTTTCAAAAAATAATCGTTAATGAAATTCCACGTCTATAAAGGATGAGATGAAAAAATTGCAACTAACTTTAGGCTGCTGTCATTTCTAAGCCACTTGTCCGCCACTTAAGCCACTTATTCTAGTGACAACTCATTTTATTGTTTACAAGCGTACAAAAGCATTTTGGTGAGAATTTTCCAGAAAAAAATTTATTCGTGATGGAGGTATTCAAGCGTGATAGTGTGTTTTCTTTATATTTGGCTGGAAAACCACAAGTGGCTATCATTAGAGCACTCCAGCATTTAAATGTGAATAAATCTTATGTGTCTCGTAACATTGCTCGTTAGAGTGATACTAGTAGCGTAGCCCGGCATCAAGGAAGTGGACAGAAGAAAACAGCAACATCAGCAGAAATGGTTCGAAAAGTAAAGAGAGAGTGACTAGATCGAAACCCGCTTCGCAGTTGCCGGAAAATGGCTCGTGAGCTGAACATATCGCAATATTCCATTCGGCAAATATTTAAAAATGAGCTCGGGGTAAAGCCATTGAAATTCCAAGAAGTACCAGAACATACACCGCACCGGAAAGAAAATAAACTCAAAAAAAGCTAAAGAGTTGCTTCGCTTGGCCGAAAGTGGTGAACAGCCGAATTTGGTTTTCTCCGATGAGAAAACATTCGTTGTCCAGCAGTTTGTAAACAAACAAAATGATTGTGTTGCCAAAGAGGTCAGCTGAAAATGTGCACTTTCGGTTGGCCACCAGAACTCAAGCGCCGGCCATGGTGATGGTGTGGACAGCCATAACATCCCAACATGACTCAGCACGCGCCATCCAAGAATGTTTACAAAATGAGGTCCCTTGCTTCATTTCCAGCGCACAATGGCCACCAAAATCTCCGTATACCAATCCGTTGGACTATTGTGTCTGGAGTATTTTGGAAAGCAAAGTTGGCACTAAAATATACCAAAGTGTCGATCACCTCAAGCAAGCGCTTTGCCGGGAATGGGCCAAAATACCGAAGAGCAACATTCGGGCAGCATGCGACTGTTTCATTGGTCGTTTGAAGGCCATAATCCGTGCCAAAGGCGACCAATTCGAACAAATCTAAACTTATTCTAAAATTTGATGCTATTTCCGACACTTTTTGCTTAAGTTCGTCATCTGCTTAATAGAAGCCGATGAGTCCGTCATCTGCTCTATTGAGACCGATGAGTCCGTCATCTGCTTAATAGAAGCCGATGAGTCCATTTTCTGCTCTATAGAAGCCGATGAGTCCGTCATCTGCTCTATAGAAGCCGATGGAGTCCGTCATCTGCTCTATAGAAGCCGATGGAGTCCGTCATCTGCTCTATAGAAGCCGATGATTCCGTCATTTGCTCTACAGAAGCCGATGAGTCTGACATCTGCTGTATAGAAGCCGATGAGTCTGACATCTGCTCTGTAGAAGCCGATGAGTCTGTCATCTGCTCTATAGAAGCCGATGAGTCCGCGATTTACTCCATAGGAACCCATAAGTCCTATAGAAGCCGATGAGTCCGTCATCTGCTCTATAGAAGCCGATGAGTCCGTCATCTGCTCTATAGAAGCCGATGAGTCCGTCATCATGAGCCCCTCATCAGCTCTATAGGAGCCGATGAGCCCCTCATCAGCTCTATAGGAGCCGATGAGCCCCTCATCAGGTCTATAGAAGCCGATGAGCCCCTCATCAGCTCTTTAGAAGCCGATGGGCCCCTCATCAGCTCTATAGAAGCCGGTGAGCCCCTCATCCGCTCTATGGATGCCGATGAGTCCCTCACCTCCTCTATAGGAGCCGATGAGCTGCTCTTCATCTCCTCTGAAGGGAGCCGATGAGCCCCTCATCTGCTCTATAGGAGCCGATGAGCCCCTCATCTGCTCTATAGGAGCCGATGAGCCCCTCATCTGCTCTATAGGAGCCGATGAGCCCCTCATCTGCTCTATAGGAGCCGATGAGCCCCTCATCTGCTCTATAGGAGCCGATGAGCCCCTCATCTGCTCTATAGGAGCCGATGAGCCCCTCATCTGCTCTATGGGATTCGATGAGCCCCTCATCTGCTCTATAGGAGCTGATGAGAACCTCATCTGCTCTATAGGAGCTGTTGAGAACCTCATCAGCTCTATAGGAGCTGATGAGAACTTCATCTGCTCTATAGGAGCTGATGAGAACCTCATCTGCTCTATGGGAGCCGATGAGCCCCTCCTCTGCTCTATGGGATTCGATGAGCCCCTCGTCTGCTCTATAGGAGCCGATGAGCCCCTTCTCTGCTCTATGGGAGCCGATGAGCTCCTCATCTGCTCTATGCTCTATGGGAGCCGATGAGCTCCTCATCTGCTCTATGGGAGCCGATGAGCTCCTCATCTGCTCTATGGGTTTCGATGAGCCCCTCATCTGCTCTATAGGGGCCGATAAGCCCCTTCTCTGCTCTATGGGAGCCGGTGAGCTCCTCATCTGCTCTATGGGAGCCGATAAGCCTCTCATGTGCCGATGTGGTCTTCATATGTTCTATGAGAGGCGATGAGCCCCTCATCAGCTCTATAGAAGCCGATGAGCCCCTCATCAGTTCTATAGAAGCCGATAAACCCCTCTTCAGCTCTATAGAAGCTGATGAGCCCCTCATCAGCTCTATAGAAGCCGATGAGCCCCTCATCAGCTCTATAGGAGCCGATGAGCCCCTCATCAGCTCTATAGGAGCCGATGAGCCCCTCATCAGCTCTATAGGAGCCGATGAGCCCCTCATCAGCTCTATAGGAGCCGATGAGCCCCTCATCAGCTCTATAGAAGCCGATGAGCCCCTCATCAGCTCTTTAGAAGCCGATGGGCCCCTCATCAGCTCTATAGAAGCCGGTGAGCCCCTCATCCGCTCTATGGGAGCCGATGAGTCCCTCACCTCCTCTATAGGAGCCGATGAGCTGCTCTTCATCTCCTCGGAAGGGAGCCGATGAGGGCCTCATCTGCTCTATGGGAGCCGATGAGCCCTTCATCTGCTCTTAGGAGCCGACGAGGGCCTCATCTGCTCTATAGGAGCCGATGAACCCTTCATGTGCTGTATAGGAGCCGATGAACCCTTCATCTGCTTTATAGGAGCCGATGAACCCTTCATCTGCTCTATAGGAGCCGACGAGGGCCTCATCTGCTCTATAGGAGCCGACGAGGGCCTCATCTGCTCTATAGGAGCCGACGAGGGCCTCATCTGCTCTATAGGAGCCGACGAGGGCCTCAACTGCTCTATAGGAGCCGACGAGGGCCTCATCTGCTCTATAGGAGCCGACGAGGGCCTCATCTGCTCTATAGGAGCCGACGAGGGCCCCATCTGCTCTATGGGAGCCGATGAGCCCCTCATCCGCTCTATAGGGGCCGATGAGCCCCTCATCCGCTCTATGGGAGCCGATGAGTCCCTCACCTCCTCTATAGGAGCCGATGAGCTGCTCTTCATCTCCTCTGAAGGAGTCTATGATCTCTTTATCTCAACTATGGGAGCTTTTAATCTCCAGTATAGAAGTCGACGAGCAGCTCTTTATCTCTAATTTTTAAAGCTCTTCTATACCTTGAGGGACATAGATGAAATATAGAACTTTCCCACTACAGTACATCCTAAGGTGTATTTTTGTCAGAAGACTTTTAAGATCTTCTATAGGCCAACACCTATTTACCAGCTGTACGATTAATTTTAGACCAGTTTAGTCAAAGCCCTGGCAGAGAAAAATTGAAATGTGAATATAAAACACATTGCATGCTGTGGTGTGGGGAGAGGTGCTCCTCATGCGATTTTGTGTGTACCATTGGTATTTGCTCTCAGCTCCGGCGAGTGGCATAAACTTTTAATTGGCTATAAATGATGGCCAGTAAATATAATTAGTTTTGTAAGTGAATGTACACAGACACACTTCCACACACACACATCCATACACACACCCATACACAAGCTAAAGCAGAACAAGAAAAAACCATTTTGGTGAAAAGTACCTGCTGTTTTCAATGTTGCTGCTGCTACTTGTCGGCAACATAGCTCAACATTATGTTTTTATAACAAATTATGGATAATTACAACATGTTGGATTGGTTGGTTGTTTGGTGAGGTGAGGTGCGATGGTTGCGTGGTTGGTTATTTGTTTTTTGTTTTCCATAGAAATATCTATTTGCCGACAGACTCCCGCATAACCGCATGTAATCAGTTACTGGGCCCACGCACTGCCACACACCATTAGTGGTCAAAACATGAACATCAAATCAGCCAGCCCAGGCCAGGCCAGCGTTGAATATTAAAATTGAAATTTAAAAACAAACAACAGCAAAAAAAGCGAAGAAGGCTTAAAAACTGTGTAAACTGTTAATTGCAGTTGTTTGGTTTCAGTTTTGTGTTTGAGCTACGCTCTGTGGCAGCGGCGTTTTTTGTTTTTCTCTTTTCATCTCTGCTTTTACGGGAAAATTATTATTTGCCAGTAATGTCCTTGTCAACGGCAAAAGGACATGACATTTTATTTTATGTGAATCTATTTGTCCAGAGAAAAAGAGAGAAAAAAATACAAAAATGGAAAAAAATATTTTTGTGGTTCACAATTGTAACCAGGAGGAGGGCCTCCATGGTCCGGGGGGGACAAAAACAACCAATCCAACCAAATGAGATAGTTAACCACAGTATTTTTATTATTAATGGGCACAAAATTGGCAAATATGTCAAAAGCCATTACAATCTGCAAATGCCATAATTTTACTTTAAATTAGCCAGCAATTCGTTCAATAGTTAATGAAAATCCAATTGAATTGTGAATTGAATGTGCCAAACTGTTCTTGAAATATTTTAATTAATATTGCAATAAATTTATTAATTAATTTGCAATTAAAAGAAGGAGGAGGAAGGAAAAAAGTAGAGTGAGCCTTGGAGGGTTTTTCATATTTTATTAGTCAATAATTGGGTTGCATTTACGGTAGAGAAGACGGCCTCCGTGGTCATTTACGGTAGAGTAGGTGGCCTCTGGGGTCGTCTACTGTAGAGTAGATGACCTCAGTGGTCGTCTACTGTAGAGTAGATGACCTCAGTGATCGGCTACCGTAGAGTAGATGACCTCAATGGGCATCTACGGTAGAGTAGATGACCTCGGTGGTCGTCTACTGTAGAGTAGATGACCTCAATGGCCATCTACGGTAGAGTAGATGACCTCAATGGCCATCTACGGAAGAGTAGTTGACCTCAATGGGCATCTACGGTAGAGTAGATGACCTCAATGGGCATTCACGGTAGAGTAGATGACCTCAATGGCCATCTACGGTAGAGTAGGTGACCTCAATGGCCATCTACGGTAGAGTATATGACCTCAATGGGCATATACGGTAGAGTAGATGACCTCAATGGGCATATACGGTAGAGTAGATGACCTCAATGGCCATCTACTGTGGAGGAAATGACCCCAGTGGTCGTCTATTGTAGAGTGGATGACCTCAATGGGCATATACGGTAGAGTAGATGACCTCAATGGCCATCTACTGTAGAGGAGATGACCTCAAAGACCATCTACTGTAGAGTAGATGACCTCAATGGCCATACTATAGAGTAGATGACCTCAATGGCCATCTACTGTGGAGCAGATGACCTCAATGGCCATCTACTGTAGAGCAGATGACCTCAATGGCCATCTACTGTAGAGCAGATGACCTCAATGGCCATGTACTGTAGAGTAGAGGACCTCAATGACCATCTACTGTAGAGTAGAGGACCTCAATGACCATCTACTGTAGAGTAGAGGACCTCAGTGGCCATCTACGGCTGAGTAGAGGACCTCAATGGCCATCTACTATAAAGAAGATGACCTCAATGGTCATATACTGTAGAATGGATATGGTAAAGTAGGTCTTTTCACAAGAGAGCATCTCTCTGATGTATAGAACGAAAAAAGCTCTAGAAGTTTTATAATCTTTTGGCAATTTTCTCTGGGGGAAAAGACTTCCAGAGGACTACCCTCAGTAGAATACCTATCAAAGGTCTTCCATCCACAGAATACCTTCATCAGTCTTATATGCAAATCAGACCTTGACAGAATTTTTCTCTACAATAGACCTTTAAATATATTTTTCAACAGAAGCCTTCAGATGTCTTCTCTCCACATAAGACCTTCAAAAAGTCATCTCTTCACAGAAGACCTTTAGAAGTCTGTTTTTGTAGGTGATATTTGAAGTCCTTCTATTTTAGAAGGCCTCTTAAGGTCTTTCTTTTTCGAAGAAGACCTTTAAAAGACCACATAAGGCCTTCAAAAAGTCATCTCTTCACAGAAGACCTTTAGATGTCTGTTCTGTTAGGTTATCTTTGAAGTCCTTCTATTTTAGAAGATCTTTAAAGGTTGTCTTTTTCAAAGACCTTTAAGTGTCTGTAAAGGTGTTCTTGTTTTAGAAGATCTTAAAAGGTCGTCTTTTTCAGAAACCTTCAAGTGTCTGTTAAGGTGTTCTTGTTTTAGAAGATCTTAAAAGGTCGTCTTTTTCAAAGACCTTCAAGTGTCTGTTAAGGTGTTCTTGTTTTAGAAGATCTTAAAAGGTCGTCTTTTTCAAAGACCTTCAAGTGTCTGTTAAGGTGTTCTTGTTTTAGAAGATCTTAAAAGGTCTCCTTTTTAGAAGATCTTTAAAGGTCGTCGTTTTGAGGATCTTTAAATGTCGTCTCATTGCGGAGTCCTTTAGGGGTGCTCTCATTTTAGAAGACCTTCAAAGGTCTTCCTTTCAGGAGATCATTAGAGGCCTTTTTCCTATAGAAGAACGTTTGAGGTCTTCTCTCCATACAGAAATTTAAAAAGTATAATAAAATACTTTCTGATGTCTCCTCGCCTTGCGAATTCTTCGCAAATTTAGGCCTTTTTCTAGATCTCCTCTGTGTATTCCAAATTTCCAATCAGTCACTTACCTCTTTTTTTAATTAAAAATTAGCAATCTATTATACAGATCAGACCTTGACAGATATTATCTCTACAGGAGACCTTCAGATATATTCTTTCAACAGAAGCCTTCAGATGTCTTAACTCTACACAAGACCTTCAAAAGTCATATTTTCAAGGAAATATTCAAAGGTCGTAATTTTCAGTGGATTATAAAAGTCTTTGTATTTTAGAAGACCTTTAGAGGTCTACTTTCGCTGAGACTTCCGGGGTGGCGAAATGTGTTATATTTAAGAGGTATCTTTTTTTAGAAGATTGTCAGAGGTCTTATGTTTTGGGGATCTTTAAATGTTGTCTTTTTAGGAGACCCTCATAGGCCTTTTTTTTGCATGCCTTTACAGGTCTCTTCTTAGAAGGCATTCAGAGGTCTTCCTTTCAGGAGATTTTTAGAGACCTTTTTCCTATAGGGGAACCTTTTGAAGCCTTCTCTCCATACAAAAATTGAAAATGTTTATTTTTATAAAAGGCTCTCGGATGTATCCTTGCCTTCAAATACCTACACAGCTCTTCTATTTGGGCCTTTTCTAGATTTCTTCCATGTATCCCAAATTTCCAATCAATCACTTACCTATTTTCTTTTAATTAATTTTAATTAAAAACTCAACTCAATTAATATTCCTCCATAATTTTGACGAAAACTAAAATGCTAATCTCCTCTCCTCCATTCACTTTTATTTTTAGCACCATTGTGTCAAGAGGCTTTTCCTCAAGGTAAGAGTTGTTATTTTTTTTTTCGCTTTTACAAAAAAAAAAAAAAAAACAAATCAACTATACAATTCATAAAGTTTTTAAAAGCTACCCCGAGGCTAAGGCGGCCATGCCTTTCCAACTATCCGGGCATGGGATGAGGAAAATCTGCCTCTTTAAAGAAAAACAAATTAAAATGTGTTTTTTTGTCAAATTGCAATTTCACCGATTTCTCCTCCTTTCTCTCCCTCTCTCTCTGACATAAAATCACATTGTCATAATGGTCAGTAAGTCAGTCAGCCTGACTGACTTTTTGACAGGCTTTACTTACTGTCGTCTTCTAATGGCAATTCATTGGTTGTGTGTGTGTGAGATTCTGCAGAGATTTACTTAAGAAAATAGCCTTAAGTTTCAAAATGGTTTTAAGGCCGATTTTCCAATTGAATCGGTGAGTGGTAGAGAGAGGTGTCCAAGAGAGGGGTAGAGTGTATGTGTGTGTCTTTTATAATCCTATCAAAATCACCAACAAAAACAATGTTAGTATGCCAGCCATTAAGCTGGTTTCAATTTATCCCCTCCGTCCGTCTGTCTCGCCATTCAAGTTGAAGTTGAAGTCTGACACTGGTGTGATGTTGTCAACTTTGATTGGCAGCCAAACAATTGAGGCTGCAAAAGCACGTGTCCAGTTAAATGCTGTTGCTATTGCCCGCCTGCCTGCAATCCACAGCAACACAGCGCGTCGGATTGTAACAATTTTGTAAAACGCCATCAGCGTTTATTGTTTTACATGCCAGCATAAGTTTTCCATTGGCGTTACTTGCTGGCCAAAAAAAAGAAAAACTACAATTGCACAGTGGCTTGGAATCAGACGTGGGAGTGGTTTTGGATCCTGGGGTTTGGGATGGTGGGGAAGCCGTCTGAGATGCACTCGGTGGTGGTGTGAGGCTATCAATTTCGCCCTAGGTTTCATTGACCTAGGCTTCGGAGACCAATTATATTATATTAAAATAAACAAGTAAGAAAACGTTATGTTCGTCGAATTTTTAATATCCTCCACCTTAGGGAAGTGAAAACATTAGAATCCATTATGACCCACAAATACCAATTTTTAGACAAATCCGTGAAAAAATGTGGCGAAAAATCATCAAAATACCAAAAATCGGGAGGTACCAAAGCGTGGACCCATACATACAATGTTTCGCCACACGAACTAGGACCCATTATGACCTACAAATACCAATTTTCAAACAAATCCGTGAAAAAATGTGTCAAAAATCCTCAAAATACCGAAAAGCGGGAGAAACCGTTATATGGGGACTATGGCAAAACGTGGACCGATATATTTCATTTTCAATACCAACCATCCTAGACAGAATACAAATTGTTCTGCTAAATATTGACGTTCTACGTCGAATAATGTGGGCTGTATCGCGATTTCAACAGACAGAGAATTTTGGAAAATAGGAACGGCTTTGAGATATGATAATGGAAGATAAAAGCATCCTTGAATTTTACCGACTACCAGATGCATAAATGTGATTTTGCTGATATATACAGGGTGAGGTAAAAAAGCTGCAACAAAATCAAACGCCATATTTTATACATTTTTTTAAATTTTATTGAATGAAAGCAAAAAATGTCGGAAATAGCATCAAATGTTATTACAGCCTTCAAACGGCCAAGGAAACCGTCACAAGCTGCCCGAATTATGCTCTGCGGTATTTTGGCCCTTATCCGCCGAAGCGCTAGCTTGAGGTGATCAACACATTCGTATTTTTTAGTGCCAACCTTGCTTTCCAAAATACTCCAGACACAATAGTTCAACGGATTGGTATCCGGAGATTTTGGTGGCCATTGCGCGCTGGATATTTGTAACCATTCTTGAATGGCTCGTGCTGAGTGCGATGGTGCTGGGTCCTGTTGGAATGTCCAAGGTCTGCCGCCAAAATGTTTGCGTGGCCAAGGCTTTGATACACCCTCTAGAATATTTTCGCGATAATATTCGGCATTTATTCTGATGCCACGGTAGATAAATACGAGCGGAGAGCGACCATCGGCTGTTATTGCGGTCCATACCATCACGATGGCGGGTGCTTGAGTTCTGGTGGCCAACAGAAGGTGCACATTTTCGGCTGACCTCCGTGGCAAGTAAACACTATAATTTTGTTTGTTCAAAAACTGCTGGACAACGATGTTTTCTCATCGGAGGAAACCAAATTCGGCAGTTCACCACTTTCGGCCAAGCGAAGCTACTTTTTAGCTCTTTTGAGTCTATCTTCTTTCTGTTGCGGTGTAAGTTCTTGCACTTTTTGGAATTTCAATGGCTAAACCCCGAGCTTATTTTTCAATATTTGCCGAATGGAATATTGCGATATGTTCAGCTCACGAGCCATAGCCATTATTCGGCCGCTGCGACGCAAGTTTCGATAAAGTCGCTTCTTTACTTTTCGAACCATTTCTGCTGATGTTGCTGTGTTCTTCCGCTGGCGGACGAGTGGTTTAGAACTGAGAGCAGTCTGAAGTTGGTTGCAGTGTTTTCATCTCAACCTGTATTTGTATGTCAGGCTTTTGTCAGATACGAAATAATCAATATTGGCTTACGTCATGAAATTTCATAAGACTATGGTTCAAGGCTTTCTCATCAAATCGTTTTGAAGTTTACAATAGCTATGAGTCGTCATCGTTGTTATTTTTATTTAAGGGCTATCAGAGTTCAAATCTTAGTTTGCTTAAAGTATTTTTAAGACTGTCAAAGCTCAAGGTGTGATTTTTGTAGGGCTATCAGTTCTTCTTTATTTCTTCAAGGACAATCAGAACAATTTTTTGCTAAGTTTAATAGGATTTCGCGGAGCTTTTTTTTATTTTTTTTAAAGCTTTAGAGCTAATAATTTTTTGTGGAAAAAATATGATTCTAGAATAGATCTAAAAAACGATTATTCTATCTTCCAGGAGTCTTGGACATAATTTCTGCCTTAATAGCCTTAGTAAATGTTGAATCAAATTATCAAAAATAAAAAATCCAGTTGTGAAATACCCTATTTCTAACCTATCCCTATTTCACACTGTGTCATGTGCCCACTGTGCTCTATTTTCAACCACTGTCCTATGAAATCGAATAACAATGAATAGTAGTCGTTTAAATTTATTGTTCAACTTCGATTGGAATTTTTGGAGCAAAAAAGGACATAAACAAATTCGTCGATTAATCGATGGTAATATGGGAATTTGGAGAAAAAGAAATTAAATTCAACCACGGAAACTAAAAATATTTTTTTTCTACACTGACGCTTCCTACACTAAGAGGAATGATAAAACTTTATTCGGTTCGAAAAAAAAAAAAAAAATATGAAGAAGGAAAGTCGAAGCAGAAGTCCTTCCAAAAAATATGGCTAACCAAGAATAAATCTAATAATATAGACACCTCTTGGGGGTACCTACAAAAGACACTATTTGAAACACGTAAATTTTGAAAACAGAAATTTCCAATTCTAATATTTGCAATTCCCCAATATCCATATTATTTTCCTTTTTAACAAATACCCATTCTATGAACCTCTAATTTTTTTCAATTTCTGTCATTTCGGAGAAAAAAATTAAACTTCCTCATCGTCATTTCGTTTCAAAATTCTTTGCTAAAAATAACTTTGCAAATTTTTCAACTATTGACATTATTACTTTTTTTTCGCTGAGAGCGGAAAGTTGTATTTGTCACTCATGCTCACTCAAACATGGTGAGAAGGTCGCTTGGAACAGCAGCAGCAGTTTGATAGATTTCTTGTTGATATAATAGAGGAAGATGATGATGATTATGAAGCCATAGTGAGTGACAGATAGACAAGCAGACACTTCATCAGCATCATCGGCGGCGGCAGTGGCACTACTTTTAGCACAGCATGACATTTTATGGCCGCTTGCAGATGTTAACCCTGTTATGGGCTATGGGGTCCTTGGTGGTTCGTTTTGTACGAAAATCAATTTGATCCAGAATTAATTTTGGTTAAGGCATCAAAAAATTACTTTTAAGGACAGACTGGTGAGATTTTGTTTTCAAGAATATTTTAGGTGTAATTCCAAGGCTTTGCATGAATGTCATAGATTACACTGTGCGACAAATTTAATTTTTTGAAAATTACACGAAAAAACCATTAGATTATGAAAGTGGAGCCAAAAATTAGAAGACACGTGTTTCGGCGTTTCGAAAAATTACTTCGCAAAGGATCTAAATGTTGTCTTCTAGGACCTGTAGTAAAATATTTTTACAGAAAGAACCAAAGGGGTCTTTGTCGACGTGATACATGTGCCTTGTATTTTTATACCCACAGTCATATGGCTAGAGAGGGTAGGTTAGGTTAGGTTAAAGGACACGCGGTTACCATATGGCAATCGCTCCACTCGGAGACCTATAGGTCCATTGTGTTCATCCTAGAAGAATGTTAAGAAAATAGGAAAAAAGTGGTTGGTAGAAGAGGTGAAGATAAAAGATAAAGTTGTAGAATGTGATATACGGCTGAGGAGTTTGCCGTGTCGTCTTTAGCCACTTGAATCTTCTGGCTAATTGAAGGATTACTATAGGGTCAGTGTTAGAAAAAGTAGACAGGTCATGTGACACTAGTTCTCCCACTAGTCTGTGTCTCACATTAATGAGTGCTGGGCAGTGGCAGAGCAAGTGTTCGACTGTCTCGATTTCTTCTTCAGCTCGACAGATCCTACAGTGGTCAATGTCGTCGCTGTCCCATTTCGATGTCATAGCCCTCTCCTTACAATGACCAGTGATGATACCCACCACAAGTTTTAAATCAGGTTTTGACAATGACATCAGCGACCTTGTTCTCTTCTCTGAGAGTGTGGGCCAGATTCATTTGGAGACGGTGCATCCCATTTCGTCCAGCCATTTTTCTTGGATTCTCTCAGAGTAATGTCTGTGAATAAACTGTAGGAAATGGCACAGTGGTGGTTTAACCGAGTTGTCTACTTCAATTGTAGTTGATTCGGATCCTAGTCCTAGCCAGTTCGTCTGCAGTCTC